TAACGTTCACACCCAACAAATGCCAAGCAATGAGAGACAATCTGCCCACTGCCCCTTGGCATTTCCATCACTGAATCCCCCACTGTCAACATACTGAGTGTTATCATTGGCCAGAAACTCAACTGGATTTGCCATATAAATACTGTGGCTAGAAGAGCAGGTCAGAGACTAGGAATACTGCTGCAAGTAACTCCCCAAGGACAAGGGCAGCAGACAACATGGAAACACCAACACTGTCTGCAAGTTCTACTCCAAGCCACTCACCATCCTCGCTTGTAAATATATCACTGTTTCTTCAGTGTCACTGGGTCAAAGTCCTGGAACTCGCTCCCTAACAGCATTGTAGCAGCTCAAGAAGACAGCTCACCAACACTTCTCAAGGGCAACTAGGGATGGGCAACACATGCTGGGCGAGTCAGCAACACCCACATCCAATAGGTGAATAAAAAGAAACTGTTTTCCCCAGCGCCCTGTGTTAGTGACTGTATCTCCACTGATGTTAATCCAGCACTGTTAGTATCTTTAAAATTATTAATTGGTCTCTCTGACCAAGTCACCTCAGACATATTCAATGTGTTAGTGTTACTGTTTTTGTTTTTGCTGAGGTTCACCTTCGTTTGATTCCTTCCATGTTATTGATGAGCAGCCTACAAGATTTAATAATTTTCACTGAATTTCCTGTCTCTGAAATCAAATTGGAGTCAGCTGTTATCTGATAGAAGATTTTCAGTTCAGTTTGAAACCAAGGTGGATCCAAGTCTTTGGAAACTGGTCACAGTTCAGCCTTCCAGGGTTTATAAGATAGCCAGAAATATCTGTATGTTGAAACTTTATTAGGCTCTCAAGACAACGCTGCCGAAAGAAATAGGGAGAGACTTATAGAATCTTGGGTTACTTTCTATTGACCACTTCAGTCTGAAAAACAGAAAACTAAGTCCAGAAAGGATTGATAAGCTACCAATAGTAGAGAGCTCCCAAAATTTTCTCAAAGCCTGGTTATTCCAGCAAACAAAGGTCATAAACCGTTTCTCATGTCCCTCAAAACATTGCTGGTCTTTTCTCCAAAGTCACTGGTCTTCTGAAAACAGCAGGCAAAGCACAGCACACCATAAAAGCACTGACATCATTTCCAAGAAATCTCGGGGTAAAACACCTTTTCAAATCAGAAGCTATATAATTTCTGGTTTTTCTTCAGTCCTTAAGTATAAATTTGCATTTGCAACATTACTGTGGATTCATTTTATGTTTCTAGAAGATGATGGTGAACTGCCATCTTGAACTGGTGCAGTGCATGTGCTGTAGATTGATCCACAGTGTCCTCAGAGTAGGAATTCCAGGATTTTGACCCAGTGACAGTGAAGGAACAATGATATATTTCCAAGTCAGGATGGTGTGTGGCTTAGAAGAAAATTTGCAGATGGTGGTGATCCCATGTATCTGCTACCCTTGCCCTTCTCAATGGAAGTGGTCATGGGTTTGGAAGGTACTGTCTAAGGATCTTTGTTGAATATCTGCAGTGCATCTTGTAGATAGTATACAGGACTGCTACTATTCTCAGTGGATGCTTGTGGATGTAGTGCCAATCAGACATGCTGCTTTGTCCTGGATGGTGTCAAACTTCTTAAGTGTTGTTGGAGTTGCACTCATCCTGAAAAGTGGGGAGTATTCCATCACACTCCTGACTTGTGCCTTGTAGATAGTGGACAGGTTTTGGGGACTTGGGAGGCGAGTTAGTCACTGGAGGATTTCTAGCCTCTGACCTGCTCTTATAGTCGCAGAGTTTATAGTGCTGGTCCAGTTCAGTTTTTGGTCAATGATAACTCCAGGATGTTGACTGTAGGGCATGCAATGGTGGTAATGTCATCGAATAGCAAGGTTGTGAGCAGATTGTCTCCTATTGGAGATGGTCATTATCTGGCATTTGTGTGATGTAAATGTTACTTGCTACTTGTCAGCACTAGCTTGGATATTATCCAGAACATGATGCATTTCAACATGGACTGCTTAAGTATCTGAGGAGTCGTGAATGGTGCTGAACATCCCCACTTCTAATCTCATGATGGAGGGGAGATCATTGATGAAATAGCTGAAGATGTTTGGGCATAGGACACTACCCTGGAGAACTCCTGCAGAGATGTCCTGGAGCTAAGTTGACTGACCTCCAACAACCACAACCATCTTCTTGTGTGCCAGGTTTGACTCCAACTAGCAGAGAGTTTGTTTCCTGACACCCATTGCTTCTAGTTTAGTTAGGGTTCTATGATGGCGGAGTGAGTCAAATGCGACCTTGATGTCAAGGGCAGTCACTCTTGCTTTACCTCTGGAATTTTGCTCTTTATCCATGTTTGAACTAGAACTGTAATGAGGCCAGGAGCTGAATGGCCTTGTAGGAACCCAAATTGAATGTCAGTGAGTAGGTTATTTCTGAGCAAATGTTACTAGATAGCACTGTTGATAACACCTTCCATCACTTTACAGATGACTGAGAGTAGACTGATCAGGAGGTAATTGGCCGGATTGAATTTGTCCTGCTTTTTGCGTACATAACATACTGGGGCAATTTTCCACACTGTCGGGTAGATCAGTGTTGTAGCTGTACTGGAAGAGCTTGGCTTGGGGTCTGACAAATCCTTCAGTACCATTGCCGGAATGTTGTTGGGGCCCATAGCCTTTGCAGTATCCTGAGCTTTTGGCCATTTCCTGATATCCTGTCGAGTCAATGCACTCAGCTGAATACTGGTGTCTATGATGCTGGGGACTTTGGAAGAAGTTGAGATGGATCATCCACTCAGCACTTCTGAGAATTATTGCAAATACTTCAGAGTACCTTTTATTTTATTTGTTCATGGGATATGAGTGTTGTTGTTTAGGCCATTATTTATTAACCATCCCTAATTGTCCAGAAGGCACTTCAGAGCCAACCACATTGCTGTGGCTCTGGATTCGCATGTAGGCCAGACCAGGATTCCTTCCCGAAAGGACATAAGTGAACCAGATGGATTTTTAATGACTATCTGCAATGGTTACCATTCGGCCAGTATTTTATTCCACATTTTTATTGAATTCAAATTTCACCATCTGCCACGGTAGGATTCGACCCATGTCTTCAGCATATTAGCCTGGGACTCTACTATATCAGCCCAATGATATTGCCACTACACTACCACCTCCCCCTTTGCACTGACATGCTGGACTCCGCCATCATTGAGGATGGGAGATATGTAGAGCTGACTCCTCCAGTGAGTTGTTTAATTGTTTACCGCTATTCTCGACTGGATGTAGCAAGACTGCACAGCTTAAATCTGACCCATTGGTTGTGAAATCAGAGAATTTGGAATGAAGGGGGGCATATTCAGAATGATGCCCTTTAGCTCGTGGAGTGCCATAGAGATCATTGCTGGGGCCACAGTTATTTACAATGAATATTAATAATTTGGATGAGAAAAGTGAAAGGAGCATAGCCAAGTTTGCAGATGGCACAGAAAGAGGTGGGAAGGAGTGTGGTAAGGATGAGGCAAAAATTCTACCGTGGGATGTAGACAGGTTCAATGAGGAAGAGAAAACTTGGCAGATGGAATATAATGTGGAGAAATGAGATTATACCTTCAGTAGGAAGAATAGAGGAGCTGAGTATTATTTAAATTGAGAAGGACTGCAAAAAACTACAGCACAGAGGAATTTGGGAGTGCTCCTGAACAAGCCAGCATCCAAGTTCAGCAGGTAATTGTGAGCAATTTGGGACCAAATCTAAGTAAGAATGTGCTGACATTGAAGGGGGTCCAGAGGAGGTTTGCAAGAATGATTCTTAGGGCTTGTCATATGAGGAGTGGTTGAGGACTCTGTGTCTGTACTCAGTCGAGCTCAGAAGGATGAAGGAGGATCCGATTGAAACTTACAGAATACAGAAACACTTGGGTAGAGTGGATGTGGAGAAGATATTTCCACTAGGAGGAGAGATGAGGACCTGAGGGCACAGACTCAGAGTGAAGGGACAATCCTTTAGAACTGCGATGAGGAGGAATTTCTTCAGCCAGACAGTAATGAATCTGTGGAACTCATTCCTGAAGAAGGCTGTGGATGCCAAGTCATTGATCGTCTCTCGGACAGCAATAGAGAGATTCTTGATGAGTAAGAGGGTCAAGGGTTCTGTTGAGGAGGCAGGAGAATGAGGTTAAGAAACATAACAGCCATGATTGAATGGCAGAGCAGGCTTGATGGGCCAAATGGCCTAATTCTGCTCCTATGTCTTAATACGCAACATGTTTGGACTGATGGCCTTTATTTCAAAGGAAATGATAGGGATTTGCTTAAACTATACAAGGTACTGGAATACTATGAACGGTTTTAGGCCCCTTACATAAGGAAAGGTATTGGAGAATTCCATAGAAGGTTCTCAAGATTGATCCTGGGTGCGGAGAGACTGTTTTATGAGGAGAGACTGAATAGAAACATAGAGATATAGAAAATAGGAGCAGGAGTAGGCCATTTGGCCCTTCAAGCCTTCTCCACCATTCAATATGATCACAGCTGATCATCCAACCCAGTACCCCATTCCTGCCTTCTCCCCATATCCTTTGATCCCATTAGCCCGAAGAACCATATCTACCGGGTTGGATATGTATCTACAGGTTGGGTCTCTGCTCATTGGAATTAAGAAGAATGAGGGGCAACTTTTTGAAACATACAAGATTGTTATGGGACTTGACAGGCTAGATGAGGAGAGGTTGTTTCCCCTTTTGGGAGAGTCTAGGATCAGAGGGTATAATCTCAGGAAAAGGGGGTTTAAGACAGAGGTAAGGACAAATTTCTTCTCTGTGAGGGAGTGAGTATGTGGAATTGTTTACCGCAGAGGGCTGTCGAGGCTGGATCATTAACTCCATTCATGGTTAAGATAAATAGATTTTTAATCAGTAATGGAATCAACGGTTCTAGGGAAAGATCAGGGAAGTGAAGTTGAGTGTTATCAGGTCAGCCAAATTAACGTACCCTCTAAATTTCTTTCCAACCTTGCCAGCCTCCCATGTTTGTGCACGACAGTGACTTCAGAACCAGAAGACATGCCACAATTGATTGTCATGCATGGAACCTGAGCAGGAATTTCGATCATGATCTCTTTGAATGGTGGAGCAGACTTCGATGAGCTGAATGACCAGCTTTTGTTCCTTTGTCTTATACATGCTGGAGAACCGGTTCCGGTCCACCGTATGCAAAGGGTTGTCGTACACATGCTGCAGGCAGGGTTCCAGAATACGCTCTCGGCATACAGTTCTGGTATACATTCTGGGGTTAGGACCCCACCCTTCCTCCCCTCTAGTTCAGATATCGTGTCTTATTAATGTGCTCGCCAGGCTGCATTTCATGTGTGTGTTTTATTGTCTTGCAGGAATACACCTGTCCTCGATGTGAGTCTGGCTTTATAGAGGAAGTCACAGACGAAACAAGGTAGGTGGAGGCTTGACACCTGTTGAAGTTGTTGAACTCCTGTCTGAGAGCTACTGTGTTGATGGGAGATCCATCTGATGACTGTGGGAAGACAGATTCTCATTGGCCCTGTATACTATTCTTGTGTCTCTGCAGTTTTTTGGACAATGGAACGAATGGCCTTGATGATGATTCAGCCACACAGTTTGCTGAGGTAAGTCAGCAGCTGAGTAATTGAAATGTTATAGAATGTCAGAGTCCCCCAGCTAGCCTCTGCTGGCCATCTAAACATTCTTTCATATGACTGGGTGGGGTAAGTGCCTGTTGTGTGTCGTGTGCTGTTTCCGGGTTTGCTGTCACACCCAATTATTGTGGAGACTGAGTGCATTGTGCAAGAAATCACAGCTCAGTCCAGTTCAGCTATGTGACTCGTTCCACCAAGGATCATCAATGTGCGATCCTACAGGAGTGGGATCACTGGTTCATTCCTAACTCTGGACAGCTGTCACATGTTCTGATGGTCTAACCATTGGAGAACTGGTGGGTAATGTAGGGTAATGTATTTTACCACATTCCCCCTGTTACAGCTCAGTTTCTGTTGTGCAGCTATGGGATCGCACCTTCCTGAACCTGGACCAGACCTTCCTGTTTGTTGATGGGAGACCCTTGCGCAGCGGCACCTCTCTAGATCACGAAGGTGGGGAACCAGAACGGGGAAGCCAGCAGAACGATATCTGGGGTCCCAGCCGACACACGAGGTTACCGATGGCCAGAAGGTACCGAGCCCGAGGAGCATCTCGCCCTGAGAGGTCCCCAGCCATTGAAGGGTATGTCGGTCACTAAAGCACTAGCTGTGTTACCTAGAATCATTTCATCCTGTCTTGGCTCTAAGTTTCCTCCCTTGTTTGTTTGGTCTCTGCCAGTCACGTTCATGTTCCAACATACACAGTATTTTACACAAACTGTGTTTGCTATTATGAGTGAAGGCCTAGCAGGGAGAAGTGATCAGCTTTTTCCATTTAGTCTCTGTGTTTAGTCTCATTGTCTATGTTGCAGTATCTTTTGCAGGTATGGATTTTTGCCAAGTGCAGGGTTACTGCTGCCCATACTCGCTGCACGTGTGATCCAAAGCAAGCCCGCATTACAGCCACAATCAGTTCTTTTCTAAATGTAAATCAGCAACAGTGTCTGATTGTGATCAAGAGCAGAAGCCCTGGCTGAATGTTTGACCCAACAGCCCTAACCCAGGACCCTGAGCTTCTGCCTGGCAATGGCATGCAACTAACTGAGTTCTTCACTGAACGCAGTAACTACTTCCAAAGAGGGTGAATTAGGCAGGGAGAAGCTACCCACCTCAGACAGTGAAACAGATTCCACCTGGACAACATTCGGGCTGATGGGTGGCAAATAGCATTTATGCCAAAGAAGATGCCAAGCATGACTATCATCAATGATAGAAAATCTAACCACATCAGCCTTTGACATTCAATGGCATTACTATCACTGAATCCCCCACTATCACTGGGGCAGCACGGTGACACAGTGGTTAGCACTGCTGCCTTACGGCGCCAGGGACCCAGGTTCAATTACAGCCTGGAGCAACTGTGGGATTTGCATGTTTTCCCTGTGACTGCACACTCCAGTTTCTTCCCACAATCCAAAAATGTGCAAATTAGGTGGATTGGCCATGCTAAATTGCTCTAGTGTACAAGCTAGGTGGACTAACAATGGTAAATGTGACATTATGGCGATAGTATGGAGATGCTCTTTGGAAGGTTGGTGCAGTATTGATGGGCCGAATGGCTTCTATCTGTACTGTAGGGATTCTGTCAACATTCTGGGTGGTTGTCAGTGACCAGAAACTCGACTGAAACACAGTGGCTACGAGAGCAGGTCAAAAGCTGGAAATCCTGCAGCAAGCAACTCACCTCCTGACTCCCCAGAACCTGTCCACCCTCTACAAGGCACAAATCAGGAGTGTAATGGAATAGTCCCCACTGGATGAGTGCAGCTCCAACAATAACACAAGAGGCTTGACAGCAATTGCAAAAAATGCAGCCACTAGATGGGCACCCCATCCATGACCTTCAGCATTTGCTCCCTCCATCATTATTGCAGAGTAGCAGCAGTGTGTGCTTGGACAGCACCTTTTAAAGACGTAACCACTTCCATGTAGAAGGACAAGGGGAGCAGATACATGGGAACCGAGCCACTTAGCATCCTGACTTGGAAATATATCACCATTCCTTCAGTGTCACTGGGTCCAAATCCTGGATCACCTTCCCTATCTGTATTGTCTGTGTCCCAATGACAGCAACTGTTTGAGAAGGCAGGTCATCACTGCTTTTTCCAGAGCGATTAGCAAAGGGCTGTAAATACTGACCCAGTCAGCAGCACCCACATTCCATAAAGAACTTCAAAAATTAAAACTCTAGGGGTGTCTCAGGTGACATTGCAATGGGTTTCTGGACGCTCCCTGTGTGGCTGCCTGGTTCCTTTCTTCTATATTATTCTTGCCTTTGTGTATTTGCAGAATAATCCAGCAGCTGTTTGCTGGCCTCTTCAATGCAGGAATCTCGGGCTCTCAGCAGACGTTCTCCTGGTAAGTGCAATTTACATCATTCACCCTTTTCCCAGTCTCTACCTTCCTACACTGTCATCACCCTGACTCCTTTGGGATAGTGTGTATCGGTTTTGAGAGGTTGTAGTTGGGAGTAAATGCTCGAAAAATGTCAGCCAAAAGAATAAGTTCAGAAAAATATAACCACAGTGAGAAGGCTACTCTGTATTTAACCCCAGTGCTGTCCTGTCCTGGGAGTATTTGATAGGGATAGTGTTGAGGGAGCTTTATTTTCAGTTTAAAAGAGTAGTGGAAGATTTAATCTCTATCTAACTTTGCAGTACCTGTTCTTGGGCCACTGTACAGAGAGCTTATTTGCAGTTTAGAAGAGTATAGAGAGCTTTACTCTATCTGTACTCGTACACTGTTCCTGACCTGGGAGTGTTTGATGGGGGACAGTGTAGAGAGAACTTTACTCTGTATCTAAACCTGTTCTGGGATTGTGTGATGGTGACAGTTTAGAGGGAGCTTTACATTTGATTAACTTTTCAAATGAATAGAAGAGCTTTCCTCTGTCTCTAACCCTGTGCTGGGAGTGTTTGATGGTGGGGGTGGGGAGTATAGAGAGAGCTTTACTCTATATATAACCCCATGCTGTCCCTGTCCCAGGAGTGTTTGATGGGGGGACAGTGTGAGGGAGCTTTACTCTGTATCTAACCCTGTGCTGTCTTGAGAGGGTTTGATGGAGGGACAGTGTGAGGGGTGCTTTATCTATATCTAACTCTGTATGATCCTGTCCTGGGATTGTTTGATGGGGACAATATCAAGGAAGCTTTACTTTCTGTTTAAAAGAGTAGTAGGAGATTTACCCTGTCTCTAAGCCCGTGCTGTTCCTTTCCTGGAAGTGTTGGATGAGGACAGTGTTGGTAGGGGTGTCTTTACTTTCAGTAAAAGAGTGGAGAAGCATTACTTGACTTTAGTAAAGGGAGCTCCACTCTACATCTAGCCCTGTGCTGTACGTTTGTGAGAGTGCAGGGTTTTAGTGTAACAAACAGTTTGATGATTTCTTCATGCCATGTTTGTGTGATAGTGAATTGTTCCCAATCTGTCTCTTCCTTCCTGAGGAGCGGGATGCTGCACTCAAACCCTGCCGATTATGCCTGGGGGCAGAGTGGCCTTGATGCAGTGATTACACAGGTGAGAAAGGCTGCCAGTTCTGTTCCAGTGCTTGTCGCTTGCTTTAGCTTTCATGCAGTTGAGGAACCTCTAAAGGTTTAAGAGATTTTTTTTCTAAGACTGCTAAGTTAGTAACGCACAGGGACGTAGGGATTGATCAATCTGTGGCTCTTAGTCCTGGATTTTTTGGGTGGTGTTCCTTGTCCATGCCTCCTCTTTTGCCCTAGTATCACCATCTCACAGGTTTCCTTCATCCTATTAGTTCTTGACTTTCTATCTTATTCTATCCAGTATGCCTCTCCCTGTTTCGGGGAAGGTTTTATTTCTCTCTGGACCTCCATCTCCATTTTGAACACTGTCACACGGGTTCTATGCTGCTTCCGTCTGATTTGGTTGTAATTTGGCTGCTCAGTTTCTAAGAGTCAGATGGACGAGCAATCTTTGTATTTCAGCACAGACTGTGAATGGGCACGGAAAAAAGGGTGGCACGGGAAAAGGTGGCACAGTGATTCAGAAGTTAGCACTGCTGCCTCATAGCGCCAGGGATCTGGGTTCAATTCCTGCCTCAGGTGATTGTGTAGAGTTTGCATATTCTCCGTGTCTGCGTGGGTTTCCTCCTGCTGCTCTGGTACCCTCACGTAGTCCAAAGATGTGCAGATTAGGTAGATTGGTCATGCTAAATTGCCCATAGTCTGCAGGGTCATGCAGGCTGGATGAATTAGCCATGGGAAATGGAGGTTTGCAGTGGTGGAGGGGTGGGATGTTCTTTGGTGTGTACTTAATAGGCTGAATGGCCTGCTTCCACACTGTAGGAATTCTATGAAAACATACTCATTTAAAGGTGCTCTGCTGGGTATCAGAGAGAGACACCACAGGGTGATATAGGCTCAATCCCGATCTCATTAACACCAGACTCTTGGTCAGGCTGATCTTATGCTCCACACCCTCCTAGCAGAGGCTAGGAGACAATTAATAGCCTGGTTAGTCATCTGGAGTGTGGTCTAAAAGATGAACTGAGAGAAGGTTGTACAGTCTCTGATGGATCGATGTGCGACCTTTCACCCACAGCAACACAGCACCATTAGGAGCAAGATGTGCTCCAACTTCAAATGCCAGGCTGCACTGAGGAGCTGACTAGCTACTGGGAGAATCATATCTGTCTGCGGACCCTACTCTGTCTGTGTGTGTGTGTATGCGTGCGTGTGTGCGTGTGCACGCTCATGTGTGTACACAGAGAAATGGTGGATCAGGCCTGTGCTGTTCCCTTCCCATTGTGATAATCCCCCTCTCATAGAGGGTCCTTGTAGAATTGCTAGCATTTGGAGGAGAGGAGAAATTTGCAAAGTCCCTTAGCATATTAAAGGCTGCTAACCACCAGCCTTATCATTGATCTCAAATCACTGCTTCCCTTCCGCAGCTTCTGGGACAACTAGAAAACACAGGACCTCCCCCAGCAGACAAAGACAAAATCACAGCCCTCCCGACAGTGCACATCACACAGGAGCAGATCGGTATGTGCCGTTCAATCCCGTTCTACAATGAGATCCAAAGGAACTATCTTTCCAGACTTTTGTTGGGGGGTGGGGCAGGGAGTGTGGTGGGATGAGAAATGGGGTAAGGGGGAGACGGATGTTAAACTGATTCCAGAAACTCCAAAGTTTATTTTGTTTATTCACTGACACTGAGTTACTAACATGGATCAGCTGAGAATCGAGGGAAAATCAGTTCTCTCCACATGAGGAATCGGGAAGGCATTGAACACCAACATCTGCTTAATGCTGCCTATACCTCAGTACAGATCTGGAGGTTAGGAGGCAGTACAGAGGAAGGGATGGTGTGTGGAGCAGCTAGGAAGCTGTTAGGGAAGAGAGGGTGGGGGGACACTAGAGAAATCTTATTAGGGGAGAGATGGTGGGTGGGCGTTAGGGGGACATTAGCCAGAGATGTTAATGGAGAGGTGAGGGGCATTAGTGAGATATTAGGGGAGAGATGGTATGATAGGAGATGGGGTGGAGTTGAAGAGAGTCACAGTGGTGCAATGAGGGATGGAAGAGAAAATTGATACTCTGTGCAGTATGGCGGGTCCGTGTCATGGACAGACATGGACCCTATACTGAAATGGGCGCTTGACATGGGGTGGATGTAACATGTGATTCAGGGAGGTGATAATTGGGGAACTGTAGATCTATGTATATTAAGGAATGAAGCAGAGTTGTTCCTTGTGTGTTAATATAAATCTCTGACTTACATTGCTGTAGACTCCGGTTTAGAATGTCCGGTTTGTAAAGAGGATTATCTCCTTGAGGAACAGGTCCGACAGCTGCCCTGTAATCACTTCTTCCACAGCGACTGCATCGTACCCTGGTTAGAACTGGTGAGCTATCCTGCCCAACAATTGTTTCACTGAAATACTACACTTATTTGCCCTCACCTCCTGCAGTCGATTCTCCAAATTGAATGTATGTTTGTGAAGCAATGGGACCTGTGCAATGGTCACAAAGACTGTAGGAATCTGATGACCCAATGAGGAGTCTCTGTCCTCACATTCGAGCTGGGAGGCTGTTTCCCGCTGCATTTCCAGGAAATCTGCCCATCCTCATAATTCCCAAGTTCAGTCCCTAGTCTGTAACTAGATTTGTTTTAAAATACTGACTATTGGGTTGATTGCTTGAATCAAAGTGGAAAGGTTTCCTGTGAGTTTACTAAAATATGGCAGATTAGTAAATGGTAACCATCCTCGAGCCTGCATTAATAATAGCTAGAGTGAAAGATGTATGATGTAGTTCACAACTGAAGCCTGATTACTTTAGGATTTGCAGTGTTTAATTCTTAAACACTTTATTCTGTTCCAGCATGATACCTGTCCCGTGTGTCGCAAGAGTTTGAATGGAGAAGTCACCATGGGTCACCGGCAAACCTCAGAGGAGTTATCTGGTAACTTGACTGGCAGTGAAAATCGGCAGCGAGACCCTTGGGCATACTGAAGGACTCTGCAGGAAGTACTTTGCACCCCAACCTCTGCATAACCCAATCAGTAATATTGTTACTTCTATTGTAAATGATATATATTAAAGAAACGAGTGGGCATGTGCCACAGCTAAGTGGCTGCTGCCAAACTGATGGCATTTGCAGGGGCCTATCTTTCATTCTGTGAATTATGTGTTTAACAATGTGGCATTGATTCGCTTTTCAATGGTTGCACAAAGATCATAGTTTTATGCTCAGTTTGTTCAAACCTTGCTCCGTTTCGAAGACCATGGCAAATTGATTTTAATTTCACCAGTAGGAAATGTCACTTTTCAGAGGGTATTTTTGATTTGCAGTGAGAGGATGTGAGGGAAGTTGTGGATCTCTGAAAGTAACTGTTCCAGGAAAGCCTTGACTAACAGCAAGGTGGGGTGTGGGTTTGAGTCAATACTGAAACATGACAGTGCTAGACAGAAAAAGAAGCCATTAACCCCTCCCCGAACCATTGTGCTACATATAAACTGATTGATTGTCAACTTTATACATTCAAACTTCTTAACCCTATAGTAGATGTTTGAAAATATGAGGGTTTCAGTTGCTGTCTTTTCCAAAGTAGCTTTCCAATCAAACAGCGCCCCCCACCCCCCCACCTCCGTTTCTTGTCTGTGTCTCAAAGCAAAGGCATGACAGGTCCGCAAGTGCTACCCACCCTCAATGTCTCGCAAAGTGGTTATTCATCATTGGTGAACCAAGGGAGCATATGTGAGCAGAATGTTTAGCTATAGGTGTCTTCATAATTAATTTTTACATTCACATTGTGCACTTTCCAGCAGGTTGCATCTGAATAACACTTCAGGAGCAAGAACTTTGCCTGCCTTCCTGCCTGCGTGCCTCCAGCCTTTACCAGCTAACCCCGCGAGTTTTCACGGATATGGCACAAAGGTTTTTCCATGTGCCTGATTTGGATGTTGCAGGCTCGAGGTTCCCATCCTGATCCACACATTCAGCCCCCAAATCTAGGGTAGCACTTTCAGTTTTTAAGCTGAGCACTGATACATTTCTAGGGCAATTACCATTCGTGCAAATCCTCAGTCCTCCTTGAGCCAGTTCTTAAAATCTCCCCTACCCTAATGAGCCAATCAGGGATTGACTTTAAGAGCTGTCTTTTGAAGAATGGCCTGCCAGTAGCCAGGACAGATTGCTGGCTTCACTCCTTTACCTTCCAGTTCTCATAAACTCCTTGTGTTTGCAGCTAGGTGTCTGGCCACTTTAAGCAGCCCTATCTCCAGCTCTGCCCTGTAGAATCCAGGGTAGTTTGCCCTTTATTAGAGGGTGTCTTAGGGCAGAAAGGATGGAAACTCACAGGAAAGGAAACCAACAGAATTCAGAAGCATAGGAATCAGTGCAGGGACAGCATGTTTCCTCTTGCCCTCTCCCAGGCTGGCAGCTGCTGACTGACCTAGTTACTGCTTTCTTCTGTTCCTTTACTGCATCCCGAAGTAGATAGCAATATTATAACATTGTCAGAGAACAGAAACAACTGGAAACTAGAGAACAGAGCTCTCTAAATTTATGATCTCCTCTTCCCTTCCTCCATCTCCACAGGTGCTGACTCTTGCTAGAGGGGCAGGTCCTCTGATACCTGGCCACACTCTCAACTCTTCAGTTCAGTACTGAGTATCAGCAGGAGATTAAACCTAATTGGCTTGATGGTTGTAATGAATTCAATTTGGCAAGTTTCAAAAATCTTTTTGTATTTCTCCACAAAGCATTTGTTTATATCGAGCAGGATGTGATCGGGTATATTAGGGTTAAACGAAGCTTGGATTAACTGCGAAGCTCATAAATCCCAAGGAGCAGAAATTCTTCAGTTTTCGCCACTCTTGTTGGTATATGTGACAGAGAATTCCTCCTTTCATTACCTCTTCAAGCTACACGGTCATGCAGAATATATGTTCGTTTGCAGCCAAGACAGCAGCAGCATTAATGACAATGTTTTAAAGTAATACAGTATTGTGAACAACAGTGTTCAGACTTGGAGAGAGAGATCACAGCCTCAATGATACACAAGCAGTTGTTGACATTTGATGGTGGTAGGTTTTGAGCTACGAGAATGAATGTTGAAGGAAGCGATGATTAGGGAAGTGAGGGCCTTGAATAATGACATGGCGCCACAATGGAAAACATCACTGGACAATTTCACAAAGATCTTTTGTCATGTATTAAAATGTCATTGTCAAACACAAAAAAGTTGGCTGTAACTTGGATGGATTTGTAAAATGGTGATGCATGAAGTTTAGTTAGTCTTGGTAGTGTGATCCACTTTGAATAGTGACCAAACTGTGACTGTGCACAGCCATCAGTATAATCCTAAAGCCACTGAATGGACCACTGGTTTTCATTCTGAATTTGTACATGGAATGTATTGGCTTTAATGGAGTTAAAATGATTCACAGTTTAAATTCTTTCTGATCTGGGACTTGGGCCTGTGGAGTGATCTGCAGTTGCACAGTTCCATCATCTGGCCATAAGGGGAGTGGTGTATTTCTGGTTACTCTGAAGGTAAAGATGTGTTACTGCAGCACTGACTACAGATGCCTGGTCGAGCAAAAGGCTGCACACTAATGCATAATGTTATCTCCCATGCTCCAGCCCTAAACCTGCAGCATGTTTTAGGAAAAAGCTGAGTACAATGTGAACCTTCAATATGTGCACAGATTCTTTCAGGACAGAAAAGGCCAATTTGCCTGTCAAACCTGTGCCAACTCTTCAAAAGAGCTGCTTCATTTAGTTGCATGTGCCAGCTAGTTTTGCAAATCTTGTTCCTGTCCAAAATTCATCCAAACAAGTATGGCTGTGTGCCTGGCTTTAACTCTAGCTCCTGGTGCCAGCAAGCTGTATAATAGCAGATAGGAACAAATTTGCTCCCTTTACCTGGTGCATCTGGAAACAGTGTCTGCTGTGTTACTGTCTTCATTCAGGATTACTTGCCTTTCTTTCAGATCTTGCCTTTCATGTTCACTATACTATTCCCACCCAAGATAGTGTATGAATGTATTAGTTGGTGATGCAGTTCAAAATGAAACAGGAGCCAAAACTCTGCATTAAGAACTACTGTCAAACACTTGAAATAAAATTAATTCAGAATGGAATAGTGCTGCTCATTGGAAGACAGTCATCTGGTATTGCATTCTGTTTTTTGTAGTTGTAAATGTTTAATCTGTCATTGGTTTAAAAGTTTTTATTTTGTAAATAAACCAGAAAAAAGTTGTTGAGAGATGGTTTCCACTTGTCCAGCCTGTCTGCATTGTACCTTCTGCAGCTTTTGGATAGTAAGCTGCATAGCAGGAAGGTCCCAGGTTTCAACTTGACCTGTGATGAGTTAGCAGATCCCAGCCAAGCCAGCAGTTCTTATTGACCTCAGTACCCCTGTGGTCAAGCAAGGGGCAACTGGTTAGGGTTTCTATATCTGCTCACCTTTAAAGTCTTTTGCCAATTCTTGTTCTCCGCCTCACATTCCCTCTCAGTGGTGATTAGCCATGTTGAACAATCAAAGTCTATGATGATTGTGCTTCTAGGTGCTTATAGCGATGGTGTTCCAGGATTTAGACCCAACAATAAATGAAGCAGCCAGATATATGTTAAAGTCACAGCAGTATGTGACTAGGAGGCACTGTTTTTTTAAATATCTTTTGACTTTTATCTTGGTTATGGAGACAGCATGTTTGATTGTTATATTCTGTAATCAGTCCAGGAAAAAGTACAAGGTGCACAGTGGCAAAGGGAGGGAAATGTTAAAAGTGGTGGATGTGATGCCAATCAAGCAGGCTGCTCTGTCCTGCGTGGTGTCAAGCTTCTTGAGTGTTGTTGGAGCTGCATTCATCCAGACAAGTAGGGAGTATTCCATCATATTCCTGACTTGTAAATGGCGGACAGGCTTTGGGGAGTCAGGTGGTGAATAACTCACCATACTTTCCCAGCCAATTTCAGGTTAACTGTGATGCCTGGAGTGTTGATGGTGGGAATTTTGTGGTAAAAATGTTGAATGTCAAGGAGTGGTGGTTGGATTCTCTCTGTCTGGTGATGGTCATTGCCTGTCACTTGTGTGGCAGATATTATTTACCATTTGTAAGCCCAAAACTGAAAATTGTCCAGAACTTGTTGCATTTGAACACAGACTGCTTCGCTATCTGAGGAGTTGTGAATGATGCTGAGCATTATGCAATCTTCAGTGAACATCCCCACTTCTGACTTTATGATGGAAGGAAGGTCATTGATGAAGCAGCTGAAGACAGTTGTATCTGGGACATTACTTTGAGGAACTGGGGGGCTCTTGTGGCATAGTTGCGGTTTCCCTACCTCTAAGCCAGGAGATCCAGGTTCAAATCCCACCTACTCTAGAACTGTGTAATAACATCTCTGAAGAAGTTGATTAGGAAAATATCTACTGTGAGGAACTAGGGGCTCTTGTGCTTTGTGGCAGTGCCCTACCTCTGAGCCATTAGACCCAGGTTCAAGTCCATTGTGCTCCAGAAGTGTGCCTGAACAGGTTGATTTCAAGATATTTCTAAGGTTGAACAAGATGATGGCACTGTGGTGGTATCCCTAGATCTGAGCCAGGAGATTTGGGTTCATGTCCCACCTGCTCCAGAGGATGTATAATAATGTTTCTGAGCAAATTGATCTTGAAAATATCTACTCTGAGGAACTTGGTGTTCTTGTGGCACTAGGGTAGTGTCCCCTGTTGCTGGACCAGGAGTCCTGGGTTTAAGTCCTGCGTGCTTCAGAGGTGTATCTGAACAGCTTGATTTGAACATTGAAAATCCCACATGATATACTTAATGGAGGCTGGTGATAGAAACAGACACCTGGAGGTACTGGAGGGTTCTTGTGGTGTAGTGGTAGTGTCCATATATCTGAGGTGGTTGAAGTCCCACCTGCTCCAGAGATGTGTAATAACACTTCTGAAAAAGTTGATTAGAAACCTGAGGAACTCCTGCAGAGATGTCCCAGAGCTGAGATGACTGAACTCCAACAGCCAAAATCTCAGAACATTACAGCTGACTGGATGGTAACCACTTTCCCCCCACCTTCGCCCAGTATCCCTACACATGGGTCCATTTTAAGATGACTGTTTAATTGCCTTTTGAATGCTACGACTGAACCTGCCTCCATCACTGTCTCAGGAAGTGCCTTCAAGATGTTTAACCATTTGCTGTGTGAAATAGTTTTTCATCTTTTTTTGTTTGCTGCTTTTGTCAATCAATTTCTATCTTTGGCTCTCATTCCCTATCTTTCCATAAGTGAAAGTTTCCCCCTCTCTCAGCCTTTTTATTCTCCAAGAAGAACAGTCCTTGCATGTCTAATCTATCTTCATAATTGAGATTCCTCAACCCTGGAGCCATTCTTATGAATCTTTTCAGCATTCTTTCTAATGCCTTCACATCCTTCTGAAAGTACTACATCCATTACTGAACCTAATACACCCCTAGCTGCATTCTTGCCCCTATTAATAAAGTCTTATTCTGTTTGCTTTATTAACCAAGCTGTCAACCTGTCCCGTTATCTTGTGCGCACACACGCCAACTTTCTCTTGCTGCACACCTGCAGGATGGAATTGTTCCCTACATTTTGAACTGTATACATGTTCTTCTTACCAAAATGAATCACTTGACATTTCCCTTCATTGAACTTCATCTGTCACCTGTCTGCTAACTTCGCCAGTTTGCCAATGTCTTTTCAAAGTTCCACATTGGCCTCCTCACAGTTTATGATGTTTCCATTCATTCTAACATCTGAAAATTTTGAAAATATGCCCTGTACACACACATCTAGACCTGTACATCAAAAACAGCAAATGACCCAACATTGACCCCTGGGGAATTTGCAACAAGTCTTCATCCAGCCCCAAAACATCTGTTAACCTGTCATTTGACCAATTCATATCCATGTTGTAACTTTGTTCATGAGCCTGTGTATCAAATGCCTTTTGGAAGTCCATGCATGCCACCATGCATTACACCCATTGACCTTTTATTTTACATCATCAACAAACCTCCAAAAAGTTAAAGATTATTTTCCCTTGTGAAAACTCTTCTGACTTTCTTGAATTAATCCACATTTGTCTCTCCAAATACTAACTTTATCCCTGAATTATTGTTACCCAGCACTGAAGTTAAACGTACTGACTTGTAGTTGCTGGGCTTATCGTTACACCCTTTTTTGAATAATTACAATTCTCCAGTCATCTGGGGCCACTGCTAATTTGAAGGAAGACTGAAAAATTATTGCCAGTGTCTCTGCTATTTCCACGCTCACTTCCTACAGTATGCTCATGTGCCCAATCTACTTTAAGTAATTGCAGTCTCTCGATTACCTCCTACTTATCAATTTTAAACCTATCTATTCTTCCACCATGCATTGTGCATAACAATTACCTCCTTGGTAAAGACAAATGCAGAGAGTGTCTTTCTTCATCCTCCTTTGTGCTAGGTCTGACTCCAGAAAGGATACAGGCAGTAAGGGAGAGATGGATAGATAGCAGGAATGAGGGAGAGAGAGAAAGGACAGAGGGAGTGAGGGAGAGAGAAGGGAAGGACAAAGGTAGCGAGGGGGAAAGAGGAGGAATGTTTGCCTTCATTGCTCAGACCTTTTGAGTATAGGAGTTTGGATGTCATGTTGAGGTTGTACAGTATGTTGTCAGGCCTCTTCTTGACAACTGTCCAGTTCTGGTCCCCCTCTTATAGGAAGGATATTATTAAACTGGAGAGGATTCAGAAAAGATTTGACAGGTGTTGCCAGGACTGGAGGGTTTGAGTTATAAAGATAGTCTTGATAGTCTGGGACTTTTTCACTGGAGTGTAGGAAGTTTTGGGGTGACCTTAGAAGTTTATAATTTCATGATAGGCATAGATAAGATGAATAGCAAGGGTCTTTTCCCTAGGGTGGGGGAGTTCAAAACTATGGGGCATATTTTTAAAGTTAGAGGCAAAAGATTTAAAAAGAACAAGGGCGATGTTTTTGCATAGAGGGTGGTTTGTATGTCGAAGGAACTACCAGAGAAAGTGGTAGATGAAGGTAGAGTTGCAACATTTAAAAGACATTTGGACAAGTACATGAATAGGAAAGGTTTGGAGGGATATGGGCCAAATGCAGGGAAGTGAGACTAGTTTTGTTTTGGAACATGGTCAACATAGACTAGTTAGACCAAAGGGTCTGTTTCCATGCTGTATGACTCTATACATAAAACAGGAACTGGTTAGGCTACTTGATCTTAAGGATGACATTTCCACAATGGTCAGAAAACCCACCATTTCCTTAACAACATAGAGTCTACCTACACCAAATGAACTGCAGTGGTTCAAGAAGGCTGATCATCATCATCACCACCACCACCACCACTACCTTTTCAAGGACAGCTAGAGTTGGGCAGTAAATGCTGGCCTAGCCAGGAACATCCACCGCTCAGCAACAATAACATTTCATGACTGAATAGGAAACTATGCTTTGGAAGCTGTGACTAAGTTGGGGCCTGGAAAATCATGTCTCACCTCTGAAAAACATCCATGACCAACCTTTCCTAAAATTTACAGAATGTTACACACAGAATACAGCTCCCATCAAACACTCCCAGGACAGGGACAGAATGGGATTGAACACAGAGTACAGCTCCATCTACATCAACCTCATGAAACACTACCAAGACAGTTAGACTACAGGGTTAGATGCAGAGTAAAGCTCCCTTTTTTAAACTGAGATTAAATCTCTCTCTACACTCGCCATCAAACAGTCCCAGGATAGGGACAGAGTGGGGTTGGATTCAGTGTAAAATACCCACAGCTTAAAAGTGTTTGTTGCTTGTGATAGGTAATTTGGGCACTATTGGCCGGGAATAACACCAGTAACTTCCATTCTTCAAAATGCATCTGTTACTGACTTGAAGAGGCAGGTTAATTAAGGCTTACTTTTCTCTCATCATTTCATTCTCTCATTTTTCCTTGTTGCCTGTCCAACACCTAACTGTGCTAGAGTGGCTCGAATAAAGCTCCCTCCTTCTGCCACACTTCCAACCTTGCTACATTTCCCACCCTGTCCATATGGTTTATCACAAACAGGAAAATATCCCATTGAAGGAAGGTGAGGTTTCACCATAGATACAGCATTTGGCTGTCACTTTCACAGCTCCTAATGCTGAATAAGGTACCATCCTGTCAATATACAATAGGGAGAGTAAAAATGTAAATACACATTGGTGCAAGCAGAATGCCTTTCATATAGAAATGTAATAAACGTCTCCCTTCACTGCCTGTTACCCAGAATTCCCAGCATTTGTCTGTCAGCAATGACTGGTCAGTACATACATCTGGTCAATGTGGTTCAACTAACAGCCAGGAGTGGGAATATCTCACTGCCCATCTGTCTCATTCATTAATCTGCGATGCTGCTGAATGGGAAAAGGACTAAATTCAGAATTTGTACCCACAACAATGAGACAACAACAAAAACTATGAATATGGTTTTAGTTCATTATATGTTTTTTTCCAAAAAAACCAAAGCTTTAAATAAAGTGCACGTAAATATTTGTTCTTAGGCCACAAGTGAGTTGGGTGTCAGTGAGAAGCTGGAATCAGAGAGGGCGAGGCAAGATGGTCGGGCTAGCTCAATGTGTGGACGGTTGCTGGGAACACAGGCAGCCCCTTCCCTCAGCTTTCACGTGGTTTCACATCAAGATGAGAAGAGATTTGTTGGCAGTCCCTTCTCACACACCAACAAGGCAAAGCAATCTGAGTGAGACCATCTGTCATGATCTAGGTCTGCATTCAGACCCAAACTCAGCTGCTAGATATCTGACCCTACACTGTGTTGTCTCATCTCGTGCACGCCTGTGTTTCCGATTTGTAAACGCATGGCACTGTTGCAAAGTAAATAGTTCCACCATGTGGCTAGGAGCTGGATTTCAACACTGGTCACAGGACTCACTGGTCCTTCAACAGTTTACAGCGTGGACTGGGGAATGGAAGAACAGATTCAGTTTAATGTGAATGTATGTTTTGGGTAACTCGGTCCACACCAGTGTCAGGGAATCCATTTGCTGGCAGTTACAGTCTTGCTCATTTTCTTTATACGTTTGATCTCTGACTCACTTTGTGCATGTAAGGCATCATTTCCAGCACAGGCCTCTTGTGGCAAGATGGCAGCCTTAGTGGGGTGGAATTATTAGGCTTGGACTGAGTGAAGGGGCTGGCTTAACGGTAGGAAACATTGTGCCACATTGCTGAGTGTATAACGATAGGAACAGTCTCTGTACAACGTAATAACATTCACCATACAGATTGTGTCTAGTTTGTCATAACCTCCACAACACATTCCGGAACACCTCCCCATGCCCCCCCCCCCCCCCCCCCCCCCCCCCCCCCCCAGCCTGGTCCCAAGAGTTTTGGGCAAGGTGACACAGCCCCTTTTGAGGGACATTTACAAATTGAAAGAAGCTTCAAGGAAGTGCACAGCAGTCACACTGTGTGTGATGGAACTGTGTAGATATGTCAGAGATTCCTGACACCAAGGGTACAGGGTGTTGGACTGCAGCACCCTCAGCCTCACTCTTTCTTCTCATCCTCCTCCTTGTCCTCATCTTCTTCTTCTTTTTGCTTCCTCTTAAAGAATCCACACTGTAACAAAGAAAGTTTTCTCTTCAATATTAATGGAAGAAATATTTTTTCTGCTTTGACCTGTTCACTCCTCCCCTTCCTTGATCTCGCAGATGTCAATCCCATCACCTCATTAGAGACAGAGAAATCGATTTAGGCCAACATAAGCCTTTTAATAATACAACACAAGAGTGATGTATTGAGCTGCATGAAGCCTTGATACAGTTACACTTGACTGAATGTGTCCAGCTCTGCCTCCCCTATCCTGTGTTCTCAGAGTCCTGCACAGGGACTGAGAAGGTGATTGAACTGATGCACACTGTTGGTGATGTGCACAGGATCTAAGACCAGTTACCAATGGAGTTTGACGTTTATAAACGGTGAAAATTAGGCTGTTACTGAAATGGGTCAAAATGGTGAGTGTGTATAAACAGGTTGGGTAAGAAGTGCTGAACGTGAATGTTCCTGTCCGTTGAGAATGGAGCCTGGTGAGTAGCTGAGAGACAGACACTTTGTCATTTTCAGAGTAGATTGTGACTTAACTGGTATTAGAAGGAATGATGAATGATCACAGATGCTGAGGATAGCGTAATTGTCTCAGAGAGCAGGAGAGAATTTCTCCTACACTTTATGAATTCGGTTTTGTGATGGTGGGGAGTGGTTCACTGTAAGCAAAGGGCCCAGGCCTAATCGACCAAACCATGCCCCATCCTTGTTTTGTCATGTTCCAAGGTCACATCAGCTGTCTCTCAAAACCCATATTCTCTGCTCTCCTCTCTCAGAAACATGTCTAGTTGTCTCCTGAACTCAATTGTACTGTAACATTCCCAACAACTAGACCATAAGCCCATAATAGATATGAATAGGAGTAGGCTGTTGGGCCCTTTGAGCCTGCTCCGCCATTCAATAGGATTATGGCTGATCCAACATTCCTCATGTCCACTTTCCTGACCTTTCCCCGTAACCCTTGATTCATGACTGACCAAGACTCTATCTATTTCAGCCTTAAATATCCACATCTATCCCCACAGCTCTCTGTGGTAAGGAGTTCCAAAGGCTCACAATAAGAAGTTCCTCCTCATTTCAGTCTTAAATTGGCACCCCATTATTCTGAGACTACGCCCTCGGGTCCTAGACACTCCCATGAGGGGAAACATTCTCTCAGCATATACGCTGTCTCGTCCCTTAGGAATGTTTCAGTGAGATCACCTCTCATTCTTCGAAACTCCAATGAGACCCAACCTGTTTAACCTTTGGTCATAAGACAATCCCTTCCTACTAGGGATCATCATTGTGAACCTTCTCTGAACAGCCTCCAATGAAATAATATCTTTCCTTACATAAGAGGACTAAAGCAGCTCACAGTACTCCAGATATCAGTTGTGGTCTCAACCAGCCTCTTGTAAACTTGCAGTAAGACTTCCCTAAAGTACACAGCTTGGGGAAATATATAGTGACATCTTGAAAAATGACCATATTACAGAGGAGGAGGTATTGAATGTCTTAAAATGCATAAAGGTGGATAAATTCCCAGGACCTGATCAAGTCTACCCTAAACTTTTGTAGGAAGCTAGGGAAGTGATTGCTGGGCCCCTTGCTGAGATGCCTGTATCATCAATAGCCACTAGTGAGGTACCAGAAGAATGAAAGTTGGCTAACATGGTGCCACTATTTAAGAAAGGTGGTAAGGAAAAGCCAGTGAGCCTGACATCGGTGGTGGGCAAGTTGTTGGAGGGAATCCTGAGGGGCAGGATTTAGATGTATTTGGAAAGGCAAGGACTGATTAGGGATAGTCAACATGGCTTTGTGCGTGGGCAATCATGTCTCACTAATTTGAGTTTTTTGAAGAAGTAGCAAAGAGGATTGATGAGGGCAGAGCAATGGATGTGATCTATGTGGACTTCAGTAAGGCTTTCAACAAGGTTCCATGTGGTAGACTGGTTAGCAAAGTTAGATCACACAGAATACAGGGAGATTTGCCATTTGGATACAGAACTATCTCGAAGGTAGAAAACAAAGGGTAGTGGTGGAGGATTGCTTTTCAGACTGGAGGCTTGTGACCAGCGGTGTACCACAAGCATTGGTACTGGGTCCACTGCTTTTTTGTCATTTATGTAAATGATTTAGATTTTTTTGTTCTATTCATTTGTGGGATGTGGGTGTCGCTGGCGGGCCAGCATTTCTTGCCCATCCCTAGTTGCCCTTGAGGAGGTGGTAGTGAGCTGCTTTCTTGAACCGCTGCAGTCCTCCTACTGTGGGTTGGCCCGCAATGCTATTAGGGAGGGAATTCCAGGATTTTGACCCAGCGACAATGAAGGAATGGCGATATATTTCCAAGTCAGGATGGTGTGTGACTTGGAGGTGAACTTGGAGGTGGTGGTGTTCCCATATGTCTGATGCTCTTGTCCTTCTAGATGGAAGTGGTCATGGGTTTGGAAGGTGCTGTCTGAAGATCTTTGGTGAATTTCTGCAGTGCATCTTGTAGATAGTACACACTGCTGCTACTGAGCGTCGGTGGTGGAGGGAGTGAATGCTTGTGGATGTTGTGAACATCAGAGGTATGGTTAGTAAGTTTGCAGATGACACCAAAATTGGAGATGTAGTGGACAGTGAAGAAGGTTACCTCAGAGTACAATGGGATCTTGATTAGATGGGCCAATGGGCTGAGGAGTGGCAGATAGAGTTTAACTTAGATAAATGTGAGGTGCTGCATTTTGGAAAGGCAAATCAGGGCATGACATACACATAATGGTAAGGTCCTGGGGAGTGTTGCTGAACAAAGAGAACTTGGAGGGCAGGTTCATAGTTCCTTGAAAGTGGAGTCACAGTAGATAGAATGGTGAAGAAGGTGTTTGTACGCTTGCCTTTATTGGACAGTGTATTCAGTATAGGAGTTGGGAGGTCATGTTGTGGCTGTACAGGACATTGGTTAGGCCACTACTGGAGTACTGCATGCAGTTCTGGTCTCCCTGCTATCGGAAGGATATTTTGAAACTTGAAAGGGTTCAGAAAAGATTTACAAGGATTTTGCCAGGGTTGGAGGGTTTAAGCTATAGGGAAAGGCTGAATAGGCTGGGGATATTTTTCCTGGAGCGTCAGAGGCTGAGGGTTGGCCTTATAAAGGTTTATGAAAACCTGAGGGAATGGATAGGGTAAATAGACAAGGTCTTTTCCCTGGGGTGGGGGAGTCCAAAACTAGAGGGCATAGGTTTAAGGTGAGAGGAGAAATATTTAAAAGAGACCCAAGGAGCAGATTTTTCACACAGAGGGTGATGTGTGCATAGAATGAGCTGCCAGAGGAAATGGCAGAGGCTGGTACAATTACAACATTTAAAAGGCATCTGGTTGTGTATATGAATATGAAGGGGTTAGAGGGATACGGGTCAAATGCTGACAAATGGGACTAGATTAATTTAGGATATCTGGTCGGCATGGACGAGTTGGACCGAAGGGTCTGTTTCCATGTTGTACATCTCTATGACTCTATAATAGACGTTAGGCTAACTGACCTACAGTTACCTGCTTTAGACCTCCCTTCCTTTTTGAATAGGAGTGTCACATTAGCGATTTTCCAATCCTCTCGTAATTCTCCATAATCCAAAGATTTTTGGAAAGTTACAACCAATGCATCCACTATGTCTATAGCTACCTCTTTTAGTAGCTCCAGAGATAGTGGATCCTAGGATGCAGGCCATCTGGCCTAGGGGACTTATCTAGCCTCGTAAGTTTGTCTATTAGCACTTCTTCAGTGATGGTCATCATTTGGTTCCCCGTATTCTTTAATATTAATGAACTAGATGATCTTCAGTCTCTTTCACTCCCTCATATTTTTGCATAAACAGTGGTCTCTGATTCTATGTACCAACAGCAGAGATGTTTACCTTCCACAGAATGAAGATAATGAGAGCCAGCAGCAGAAGTCCCCCGAGTGTGCTGCCAATGATAATCCACAGAGACACAGCAATCACCGCAGGCTTAATCAGCTCTACAGTCACCTAGACAGGAAATGAGACACATCAGCAAACAAACAATCAGGCCCATTCTACAAAATCTGACTGCAACTGGGAATGTTTGATGGGGGACAGTGTAGAGGAAGTTTTACTCTGTATCTAACCCTTTGCTGTCCCTGTCCTGGCAGTGTTTGATGGGGGACAGTGTAGAAAGAGCTTTACTCTGTATCTAACCCTTTGCTGTCCCTGTCCTGGGAGTGTTTGATGGGGACAGTGTAAAGAGAGCTTTACTCTGTATCTAACCCCGTGCTGTCCCTGTCCTGGCAGTGTTTGATGGGGGACAGTGTAAACAAGCTTAAACTTTGGTTTAAAAGAGTTGAGGTAGCAATACTGTGTATCTAACCCTGTGCTGCACCTGCCCTGTGGACTGTTTGATGGGATCAGTTTTGTGGGGGCTTCACTCTCAGTTAAAAAAAATATAGGCAGCTTTACTTACGTTTAAAAAAAGTGGAGGGAGCTATACTCTGTATCTAACCCCATGCTGTCCCTGTCCTGGGAGTATTTGATGGGGATAGTGTAGAGGAAGCTTTACTCTGTATCTAACCCCATGCTGTTCTTGGCTTGGGATTGTTAATTGAAGCAGTGGGAATTGGATGTGGAATGTGTCTCAATTCCCACACCAAAGCAAAGCAAAACTTGGTATCAGAATGCACACAGCTCCCCATCCTGTCTCTCCAGTATACCGAGGACTTGTTACCTATCTTCACGTTACCTATCTTAACAAACAGGTTTAGCTGTCAGACTGTAATTCACTCCCCTTTTCATTCTCAGTTTAGTTAACAGGAAATTCTGGTTACCTCTCGATAGCGAGCTGATTCTGCAACAGTCAGGACCTGAGGAGTTTGTACATCCAGAGTTAGCGTAGTGACAATTTTCAATGATCTGAATTTCACCTGGAAGGAGAGGTTTTGAAAGTTTCAGCATGTGTTCTCAGCTAACAGCTGCGAGGAGGTTCAGGAACAGAATATACAAGAGAGCTTGTGAAAAGAGGAAGGAGAAAACACAAGTATTTTGGTCTTGTTGAAAAGAAAAGGCTGTAGTGAGCCTTCACTATTGATCATATTATAACACGGTGTCGCATTTACAAGTGAACTGGGTGGTAACACTTCTGAGTGATGACATACTTGCACAAGGTGTAAGAATGGACACTCTGTGAGTCAACAACTGGCCTCCCATTCAGCTTCTGTTTGAAGGTTGGAGCACTGTTGAGCTGAGCTGAGTGTCATGCTGGACCCACAATTATCTGTTGCTGACAGCATTGCCACATTCGGTAAGTCATCTTTCAGAACAGCTCCAGTGAAATGGTGTTCATGTGAGAGTGTGTGTATGTGTGTGCACGCATCTGTGTGTTAGGGGATATGTGTGTGTATGTATCTGTGTGTTGGGGGTGTGGGTGTGTATCTGTGTGTGTGGGTGTGTACCTGTGTGTTGGGGGAAGTGTGTGTGTGTGTGTGTGTGTGTGTGTGTGTGTGTGTGTGTGTGTGTGTCTGTGTGTGTGTGTGTGTGTGTGTGTGTGTGTCTGTGTGTGTTCCTGTGTGTTGGGTTAGAAGGTTAATAATAACTTACAGTCCTGAAGAATTTGCCATACAGCATGTAGCCAACATGAATTGCCACCTCCTCAGTCCTGTCGAGAGTATTCATATGGCAGGTGAAGACACTACACCAGGAATTACTGCAGTCCTGTTGGTGTGAACACAGGGACAGATTCACCTTCACTGATGATAATCAGTTAATTCACTGAATATCCACTGTATCTTCAACACCTCCCTGGGTAACATGGCACCAACCCACAGGACCCTGACCTCAGATACTCCACACAGAACTGGGACAACTTGCCTTCCTCCCTTCCTGAAGGTTCCTGTGATAATGGTATCAGAGGTTGTCCTTTAGCCAGTAACACAAACCAGGCAACGTCCCAGTCAGGGGGCAACCCTGTACGTACTTAGACCCCACACACAGCAATCACAGGCACATTTGCTGTGGAATTTTCAGGCCACTGAATCTAGTTGTAGTTTCCTGAGATTAACAAACTCAACCTGGAACAGAGATCCCACCTGGATCTGTTGGCTGTATGCTGTATTAATGGCAGAAAAGGTCACTGTGCTTGAAGGTAAACCTCACACAGGATCACAGTTCAGTAAATGGAGATGAAAAGGAACAATGGAAAACAGAGATTGTACTGTGGGTCAGAGAACTGAGTCCCATTCTACATTAACACACAGCAAACATTACGCTAACAGTTATAGCAGGTAAAAGTAGCTGTAAACTGAGCGGTTAAAAACACTGTCTTCCAAATATAGCTGTCTCACAGACTGTCTTGATATAAAAGGATATCTCATACCCACTCTACCTCACAAATGCTATCCAATATCCACTATCGATCTCACTCCCATCTCTCCAATATCCACTA